TTATTTCTTTGATAGATAATCTTCTATAATTCTCTAATTACTACTTTAATCTAACAACTATCACAACTTAAATATAATATTATAGTATATATAAATGATCTTAATTTTTTTACAATCTCAAAAACCAAAATACAAAACAATCTTAATATAGTAACAGAATTTTTCAAACTCAATAACATCAAGGTTAACCTAATCGAAACTAAACTAATTACATTAAACAGTAAATTACTAAACAAAAATACCTTTTAAGAAACAACTTCTATATTTCCAGCTTTCAGAAAAGAACTGATAAGAATTTTAGGTATTTGACTTTTTAAATATAGTATCCTTATATCCAATCATAACAAAATCTTTAAAAACTTTAAACCAATCTTTCGATTTTTCAAATTAAAATTTATAACATATTATATGACCTCTTATATTTACAATAAAGTTTTCTTTTACAAATAGAATATAAATTACAAATAATTTTTCTATTTCAAATATATTAAATAAAACTTGATTTAATTAACAAACACAAATTTAATATTAAAAAAATACTTCCATAATTATAATTATACAAGTTATATATTTTTAATATCAAATTCACCAGACCTATAATCAGAAGTTCTAATATTCAACTTCAATATATACTATCAAACCCTATTATCAAGCCAAGCAAAGAATTAAAAATTCATGCAATATAAATCCAAAATTGTCAACTCTTCTGTATTTTTCAGAATCAATAAATTATTAAATATAATATAACAATTTACTTAATTTATCTTGTTAAATACTACAATATTACATTCTGTTTCAAATTAAACTGTTATTACAAAATCCCAAAAGAAAATACACTTATTTATCAACTCTTATCACACTATATAAACTGGACAATCTTCTTAAACCAACTTTTTAAAAAAATATCTATTATATTAAACAATTACTTACATATAACAATAATAACATAACAAATTGGTAACATATCTCTGTCAGATTCTGATTCAGTACTGTTAGTTCTATAAAAATTACAAGGTATAGTCATGTACTGTAATCACCATATTATGTATTCTGAAAATATGAAGTAGCATTAATAATTAGCATAGAGAATATAGTTATAAGAGCTTATATAACCTACCCATAGTTTGTTTTAGCCCCAATAGCTTATTTTCTCTTAATTGTATTTCTAGTAGTAACAATAATATAAATAGTAATACTATCGTAAAGCAAATAATAGGATAGAAAGAAAATAGTAAAAACAATTGAGCAATTAATCAACACAGCAATTAGTAAAATTGAAGTGTTTGAAAAGGAATATTGTAATTAACAACTTATATTTTTAAGTATGTACCATCTAGGAAAAGCTAATTGCCATTATAGAACATAGCCTGGGATTATCAAGAGAAAAGCTGGTATCGAGAAAGAAGAGAAAAGCTTGTTAATAATGAAAGTCCTGGCTAAATCAATCTTATATACCTCAACATACCTTTAATAATTCTATCTTAGGACTGGTGAAGTATCTGACTTGCTATCTTCTGGCCCAATAGTACTTATGGAAAAAAACCTTTCTAATACAAATTACTATAATAACTACAATTCTAACAATCTAATATATCTTTAGTCAAACCAAACAAAAAAAAATAACTAGTATTCATTATAAATAACAAAATAATAATTAAAAAAAAACAAAAAACAAATAAGACTTATAAATCAGTAGCATAGTGGATAGTGCTCCCAGGTTACCAAATACATATTTCTAATTCATATCTACAAAATGCAAAAAGCACATTTACCTTTATATGTAGATCTATTGGATATCCTGTATATGTTATATCCAATAATCCTTAATTATATCCAAATTTAGTTAGATTGCATAAAGATAAAACCTCTGGTCTTTTTGACAATAATGGATTAAAAACATGTTGAAATATAGAAGATTGCATAAGGAAAGGCTTCTGATTTAACTTTGATAAAAGCTTATATAAACTTAATTCAAACTAGTAATAGTAAACTCTGTCATACAATCTAAAGAGATTAATTCTAAGCTAATCTATTCTAATCTGGAACTTGGGATCTATTTCAAAAGTAATATTTTCTTGAACTTAAATAAACTGAAAGAGTAAAAGGTTATTGGCCACATGTGGTAACAATTTAGGCAAAAATTGTTAAGACCAAGTATGTCTAGTGAGGATTATTAATATTAAATTGAAATTCAAGCAAGAATACCAGTTTTACAAGTGGTGAAAATAGTAGTACTGCACTATGCTAGTAACACATTCTAAGAATTAGTAATAATAGATAATTGAAATAATTAAGATTAATCTCTATAATAACATTCTATACTACACTGCTCTCTACAATATGGATTTAGTAGGTTAGGTAGGTTTTAAACTAGTGATAGGGTTCATCTCCAGTGGAAAGTTTTATTTGACATATGGAGACATATTTAAATATTTAAATAAATATATAGTTGAATAATAGTGGTTAATGAAACTAGTCTTATAGCAATATTTGTATTAGGCAGTGTTAATTTGTAAATTAGTTATAAAGACATAACAAGTATCTATTGTATCAATTGATTTTCAATTAATTTGTAGAGACACTTGGTGTTTGTTTGAATATATAAATGTATCAATAAAGATTATATGTCTTGTATACATTTCACTATAAAAAAAAAACTTCATTAACTATTGGTTCTACAATAGTCACAACTTTAACAAATCAATAACACTATTCAAATGTTAAGAATATTTTCTTAATATATATGTAACTTTTTATGAATGTCAACTTCTAATTTCTTTAAAATTTTTAAATTTTTTCATCAAAATACAATCCAATAATACAATTAAAACAAAAATAATAAAAAATGATCTTTTTAATTTACTCTATACAGATTTTTCTTTCAACAACTCTCAAATACTAATTGATCTCTATCTCTATAAATTACTAATTCAAAAACACATCACAACAACATTACAGTCAATAATAAACTTTCTTTCCAAATATAATAACTCTTTATTTGAAGTTCTTCTAACATATAAATATTAATCCAATATAACAACTATTACTTGAAACTTTATTTGATATCACAAATCTTTCACAATAAATTTAATTTTTAAATTAAATTTGTTATGATAAAATATTTTTTTAAATAAATAATTCATAATAATATTTTATACAGTAATTAATGATATGTATAAAAAAATGAAATATTTTTTATAAATTTATTAAAAATGTTATTATTGATAAAAAAAAATCATAAAAAAATCCATATTTATTGGCAAATATATAATTTATAAAAATTAATGTTTATATAATATTATGTTTTTCATTAACCTTGACATTTATTTTAATTAATGTTTTAATTAAGAAATTTTTTTATATTTTATATCACATTATTACCATAATTAACTATAAATTTTAAATCACTAATAGTAAATCCAAGTATACAAATTTTTATCTTTCGATATCTTTTTAAAATCATTATTACTTAATTTATTCTTGAAAATGATATCACAATAAGTAGGAAAAAAATGAAATTATACATCTTTCCAGTTAAAGGCTCATATTGCCTCCAGTAATATTAACAATCTTAAACATTTGGGGTAATATAAAAATGTGTGAAATACAGTATGTCAAATATCATGCAATATGGTTTTATACAAAATTTATTGCTTATTATATTTCTCAGCATGAATCTATTATGAATTCGATTAGGCATGCATGTTATCTATTGAGACTTTTTAATGGAAATTGTAGGTAATATATCTTCATGAATATGATTCTTAAATAATTCAAGCTTTTCATTGACTTGCATCTCGGATGGATGTTCATCTGGATCATCTTACTATGCTATTAAAACTATGATCAAATTCTGAGTTCTTTATTAATTGGGCTGTCAAAAATGTATAGAGTTTCTCTTACCTTGTTTATTGTGTGTTCCTGTATCTCTTACATATTCATCTTTCGTATAGAACTCTTTCATAACAATGCTTCCAAAGAAGTATTGAAAACATTTTGATCAAACACTGAAATGACGGTAATAGCTAATGAAGCCAACAGCAGAAACTAAAATAACTACGTACCTAAAAATTTTGCTATAATAAGTGTAACGCTTTCCTTTCATTATTTCTTGAGACTTCTAGTAAATATAATCACTTAAATTCTCGATAGGTAAAGAATCGCTTTGTATATTACAAGACATTTCAAACCCCGAGATTTTAGCCGTCAGGTCTTCTGTTATCTAAGAAAACATTAAGAATTGAATTGTATAAAATATTTTGGTTACATTTTAAATTAATTTAAATTACTAAAATATTCTAGCAACAAACACCATAATATAAAATGTCATTACTATGTATAAAGAAGAGATCTTTAACAATATCACGAGTGATTTTTAGTTTTAAATGTCAATTAAGAGTATATTTTTCATAAGAAGATTTTAGACTTCCATATGTTGCCAGGAAAAAACTATGACGCTCTCTTTTCTACTTCAGAAAAGCTATAGAAAGTACCAATGCGATTGTATCTTCCTAATAAACTGAATATAGTTTGAATTTTTTGAGCTTCAGTGGTATCATCAACAACAGTTGGTGCCCTTTTACAAGTAGCTTCAATACCAAAATAAATCTTTTTATAATTTTTCAATTTGCTCCTCTTTTTATTATCTTTTGCGAATATTTGATACTTTGTACCTTAAACATCTCGTTTAATGAGTTTAATACATAAGAATTACCACCCGATTTTGATATTTTCATTTTAACATTGTCCCAGATTGTGTTTATATTATTGTAGGCGTGATTCATATCACCTCTGAGTTCGTCTGTCAGCTAGCAGGAAAATAATAAATAAACCGAAAACTAAAACTTTAAATAATATATCAATAAATACACTGACTTAAAAATTGTTTCGATACTTATAAAGTTTTTTATTTATAGTTTATAACTTTTGAGCAACTGATTAAAAAAACTAAAAATTTAATTATTAAAAGATTATAATTACTGTATCTTTTAAACAGTATTCTATATCTCTTGTTCTCTTTTCTCATCAGAATAAAATTCCTTTATGTCACCATATTTATATTCAAATTCGCCGACAACGCTATAAAAATTTTTTCTAACAACTTTTGCATTCGCATACTTTTGTAAACCCGATAGCTGTGTCACATTTTTTGCAAACTCCTTAACTCCATCCAACACGTGACAAAAACCAACCCATGCATCGTAATATTGTTGACTACTAAAATATTTTTCATTCTCTTGTTTGTGACACTGCAAATATCTAACATCTTGTTCTACAATTTTCACACGGTTAACCAGATCCGCACATACTTGACGATTGTGCTTTGCATCTTTATATATTTTTGCTAGGTTATCAGCTGTTTCTCTAACACTTGCAAATAATGGAAGAAATGGCTCAATAGCATTTACAGAATAAGTGTTATCTTTAGATCTTAAATGTGCACTAAATTTGCTTTCTCCAATAGATTCTATCTCATTTGTTTTGACAGAAGTCTTGTTAAAATTACTTTGTATTTCAAGTTTAACTCCTGATGAAGCCTCCAAATTTAATTTCTCTAAATCCATTGATAAATAGCTATCGATTTTAAATTTGTTTTGAATACTAGTATATTCATTTTCTGATGATTGTGGCTTTTGACAAATGTCATCACAGGATTGAACGTCGGTGGTATCTGGAGTATCAGTAATATCTGTGACAGCTGCTGTGCTTAATGAGTCAAGTGATTCTTTCACTCGAGTTAGTTCAGGTCTTTCGTCAGGATTTTCTTTCCAACAGGCTAAATAAAATCCATTAAATTATTACCAACATCCATAAGTTTACGATTTATTAATAAAGATATCTGGTAAAAATTCTGGATCTATTTGATAATTATTTGTTATTAAATTATTATTTTTAAAATTAATTTAAATTAATATAAAATATTTTACTAATTATATATTATAAACCTAGAATTCTAGCCATTAAATTATAAGTATCTATTTGTCTTGATGTGGTTTTGATACATTTTTTATTTTTATAATTTTCTAGGCTTTAGAAAACATTCATTATTTTGCTGTTGTAATTTTAAGTTTTCTTAACTTATTTAAATATAAGTATTCACAATCTTTCCAAAAAGTATTTGCAATAGATACATAAATATTATTCATAATTTGAATAAAATTTTTCTAAAAAAGTTCAAATATATTTGTTTTATTAATTTGATTAAGATTTATTTCAAAATTTTTATAAATTTTATCAAATTATTCAAAAAATTAATTATTTAAAGAGGCATTAGAAATAATAAAATTGTAACAAAAAATTAAATTGGGAAAAATATTTAGAATAATTTTTTTCAATTATTTATTTAATTTTTTTAATATTTCAATTTCAGTAAAAAAATTGTCTTGATTTTCAAATATTTGATTAAATATTATTAATATTATTAAAAATTATATGAGTAACTTTAATACTATTAATTAATATTAAATTTAAATCAATTAAATCAAATTTAATTGCTACAACTCCAACCCATTTATTGTATACTTGATCAAATAATATTGGTGAATTAATTTTAAGTTCACGAGCAAATTTTTGACTCTACAAATCTTTTGAATCTGAAATTAATCTTTTAAAAAAAAAATAAATAATAATATTATTATATATTATAAATTAATGTATATTCATTAAAAAATTTTTTTGAAAACAAAATTTGAATATTGTTAAAGGTAAAAATAGTAATACAAAAAGATAAATAATTAAGAAAAAGATAATTAGATCTATTTGATAAAATAAGTATATTAAATATATCAAGTATATTAGGTATATCAGGTATATTAGATATATCAGGTATATCAAGTATATCAAGTATATCAAGTATATCAAGTATATTCAGTATATTTGGTATATCAAGTATATAGTAAAGAAGTATAAAAGTAACAAGTCATATCTTCATAAATATTAACATACATTTCGGAAGTTCCTTCGATCGGAGTTTCTCTATGACCGTTTAATATAGTTAATAACAATACACCCATATCTAAAGATTCAAAAGGAGGGTAACCACTTGTAATTTCCCATAGTAAAACCCCTAAACTATAGATATCAGACTTTTTATCAGACTTTTATCAGGCTTATTACTTTTATTTTTAATACAATTTGGATCAATATATGCTAAAACACCGTGAAGTGAATTCGAGGGGTGAGTCTTTGATAGATTTTTTAAATTTTTAGCCAATCCGAAATCCGAAATCTTCGCATTTCCTTGATGAACAAGTATGTTTCCCGAATGCTAAATAAAATATTACTCATAAGATAAAGCCATTTATAATACCTAAATGTTTAATTAAATCTCACCAGGTCTCTATGAACAATGTCTCGACAGTGCAAATAATGAAGAGCATCCGTAATTTGCTTGGCCATGCGTAGCTTATCATTCCAATTTAGTAAACAAAAATTTTTTTGAAGGTATTGACGCAAGGTTCCGTTATTAGCATACTCAATAATAATAGAATATTCAATATTCTTTTTTTCTATATGAAAAATTTTTATTAATAATATTATAGGGTATTTTAGTCGGTTACTTTGTAAACTATTACAGTACCTTTCTTGGTAATTCCATATAGCCTTAAAATGTTTTCATTAAAATCAACATCCTGATGTAATTTTAGCTATCACATACAAATATTGTATTAATTAATAATAAAGAAACTTCAAATTTAATAATTGAGTACTTCATTTATAAATAATTTTGCGGATTGTTCATCAGTAATTTTAACTTTTTTAATTGCTACTGTTATTTTTTTACTCCGCAAAAATGCCGAATAGACCTTTCCAAATGCCCCGCTGCCTATTAATTCATGATCTTCGAAATCATCGTATTTAAAGGTTTTTAAGTCTAATTTGTTTATAGAGTTTTCAAAATTACTAGCCCAACTATGCGTATTCATATTACAGAATTCAATAAAATGACAGAGTACAACCGGCCAATAATTTCGGGTTTGGATACAATTATGTACCATATCATATGATAGTCAAAACGTTGTCCATATTAGGATTACGCAATACTGTACTGTACTGTACATTACTGTAGCAAAAAGGAATAGTGGTTACGTTACGATTGTCTCCGTAAAATTCCATACTATGTACTATATACTGTAATTATAAATGTTTATTAGCAATTGTCGTTTTTTAGAATATATCCAGTCATATAGTGTGAAGCCCTATCTATTTACTATGCTATAGATAAAACTGTTCTTGAGTTCCAAGATTTTTCAGTTTATGAGGAATTAAACCTAAAAATTTTTATTGATTGTATTGTTATTTGTTAAGCCGTTCCAAGCAAGCCATTTGATAACCCCTTCTGGAATCGTCTCAGAGCACTTTATATAATCCTTGCATTATCAATACCAACGAGAATTTTTTATATAGACCACTAGCCCCCCACGTACACCTATGTAACTTTGAACATACATCAAATCCAGGACGAAGATTTTAGGGTTTGTAAGATATTCTATTTTTTATTCAAAATAATAGGGATATCAGAATCTGATCGTGTAAAGTAATAAGCATTTTTGCTGTAATTTAGACCTATTATACTTGATTGTATGTGTTAAAAACTTTGTATTAAATGATGATGGAATCACCTATGTTCGTTGTCTTCACTGCCTGATTTCCTATCTGGCTCTTTTGCATAGATCCACTCGCAAAATCATAACAAAAAGAGAGTATGTGTGTGATGAAAAAGAGAAAGAAGAATGAGAGTAAATGGGTTGCCAACTAGAGGATTTGCTTGGCAACATGCTTCTTAATTTTTTGAGAATGAACAAGTAACAAACTAAAGGAAATAATAAAACAGGGAAATATGATGTACAGTGTAAGTCATAATTTTTTGAAATTATAACTTTATTAATAGTCACTTAAATGTTATAAAAATATATAGAAATATTTTGAAAACCTATAGCTTAAGATTATTTAAAAACATTATGTTAATATAAAATACAGTATAAAATTTCAAATTTTTACAAAAAAACAATATTTTAAAATTTGTTTTTATTAATTATATAAAAAAAATTACTTGTTTTATATAAAATTTAATAAATCATTTGTTTATAATTTTAAAAAAAATTTTTGCTGAAGTTTGTATTATAAAACATATTCTTAAAAATTTTTAAACCCTTATTTGAATATAAAATTCTTTAATTTTTCTAATAATTTTAAAATTAAAAAAAATTTTATATCATAAAACTTATTTATTTTATATAAAAACTAAAAAAAAACTTTTTTTTTTGGTCTTTTAAAATATTTTTATTTAAGTTTTTTTTTTAAAATAAATTAATTAAATTTTTTAAAAATATATTTGCTTATAATAATTTTTTAAAGAAAAGTTATGATATTTTATTTCAAGTTTAAAATACTGTATATAGTTATAAGAATCTGTACTTCTTTTAAAAATTCAAATCTAATTCAATTGTTTTAAATATATTAGAACAGATGGTTTATTGCAATTCTTAATTCTTTAACTTTTTCAGAGTTTTGTGATTGCTATAATAAATTATAAATGAGAAACAAATCTTTAAGATTACTTTTTCATGGAATTTTTTTAACTTGAAAATTATTAAAAAATAATTCATATATCAATAATTGACATAATCAAAAATTTTTAAAAAATTATATGTTAAAATTTAGATTCTTTTATATTATTAACAAAAAATTAATTTCTAAATTTTAAATTTTATAATTTAAAAAAATACTTTCCGAAATATAGTTTTTATTAATTTTACTATATAATTTATTAATTTATAATATTTTTTATAATAAATTATATAATAAAATTGATAATATTAAATTATGGTATTTTCTTTAAATTTATAAGTAAAAAATATTAAATATTTTATTTTAATATTTTATTCAATTTTAAAAAAAATATTTTTAAATAACAATATTTAGTTTATAAATCAATATTGGTATTTTTATATTTAAAAGATTTTATTTAAAATATAAATTCACTTTTAGATAGATAAAACTTGTATAACCAAGTAAAATTATAAATAAAAAAACAAGTTAATTTAAATAAATATATATATATAGTAAAAAACTCTTTCTATCAATCAATTTTTTACTTGAAAATTTCCTTATTTGATAATAGTTTTCCAAGAAACACTTTTTCTCTCAACACTCTCAAGTGCACTCAACTACTAACTAACTTCCAACATGGAGCATCCCACAACAAACAGCAACAAAAAACAATTTCTACATGCTACTATTTCTCAAGATTGGAACCAACTCTTTCAAATCTACTTTTTTGATCTTAACAATAATACAATTAACAAAACAGAATTTGCAAGATCTCTCCTCATTACCAACCTTACAAACTTTCCTAACCAATTCCTCATTTTAAAAGAAAAGAAATAATTGAGAAAATCATCAAAGCAGGTACTACAAATAATATCTATATTCTTAACTTTACAATGGAAATAATAAAAAAAAAGGATCAGGGAAAACTTCCTCAAATTCATATCATAATCTCCAACACCAGAAACACCCACATCAACTTCCAATATATCAGCAACATAGCAGAAAAATAAAA